CAGAGACAGAAACACAGAGAAAAGAGAAAGAGAGACAGAGAAAGAGAGACAGAGAAACAGAGAAAGAGACACAGAGAAAGAGAGAGACAGAGACAGAGAGACAGACAGAGACAGAGAGAGACAGAAAGAGACACACAGAGAGACACACAGAAAGAGAAAGACACAGAGAGACAGAAACAGAGAAAGAGACACAAAGAAAGAGAGAGACACACACAGACAAAGAGACAGAGAGAGACAGAGAGAGACACAGAGAAAGAGACAGAGACAGAGAGAGACATACAGAAACACAGAGAGAGACAGAGACACACAGAGAAAGAGAGAGACAGAAGGAAACACAAAGAGACAGAGATAGAAACAGAGAAAGAGACACAGAGAAAAGGAGAGACACACAGAGAGACAGAGAGAGACAGAGACACAGAGAAGAGAGAAAGAGACACACAGAGAAAGAGAGAGACAGAGAGACAGATAGAGACAGAGACACAGAGAAAAGAGAAAGAGAGACAGAGAAAGAGAGACAGAGAGACAGAAGCAGAGAAAGAGACACAGAGAAAGAGAGAGAGACACACACAGAGACTGAGAGAAACAGAGAAAGAGACAGAGACACAGAAACACACACAAAGAAACAGAAACACACAGAGAGAGACAGAGACAGAGAGAGACAGAAACACAGAGAAAAGAGAAAGAGACACACAGAGACAGAGAGACAGAGAGAGAAATACACCCAGAGGGATTTTTCTCACCTGAATAATAAATTAAATCCAAAGAGGGTGAACATGACAGCCATGTAGCCCACGATGCCTGTGGCATAGCTGATTTTGTATATTAGGAGAAACCACTTGTACACCAACCTGGTTGTGGGGAACAAGACAAAAACATGCCAGACCCAAGAGCTATACATCGGGATCTCTTTCCACTCCTTGCCATCCTGAAAATGCCACCCGCATGGCCGCCGTGGCAAAAGCTTTCCTCTTTAACATAAATCCGTGGCGTCAGCTGAAAACTGCCCCTTTTCAGCAAACAAGGCAGTTCGAGAGAGGCGTTCAAAGCCAATTCTTATCCCCAATGTAAAGTTCAGGATCTTAGCCAGGCCGTCTCCAAAGCCGATAAAATAAACATATATTTAAAAAAAACAGAATTCCTTATTAGTCCTCAAATTATCACCTCAATTGGGACCAGATTTTCTGTCACTAGGTAAGACAGTTATGTGAGTCCCAACCAATTTTTTTATTTTTTTTTTGCAATTCTGGCTTTGTCAATTCACACCAGTTGCCAAGCACCCAAATTCTGATCGCATGACCATGGGGAGGCCACAACAGTCGTACGTGTGAGAACCGGTCGTAAGTCACTGTTTTCAGGGCTGCTGTTGTAACTTCCAATGCTGATAACTTGAGGACTTCCCTTGTATTTATACCCTGAGAGCCCCAGAGGCTGGTGTTCTGCTATGTGGCCATCTCTGTTTAGCCACCCTCCCCATGGCCACAAGGGAAAGCAACCGAGGGCGGGTGGGCAGGAACGCCCCTTCCTAGGCAGACCACAACGCCCCCGTCTTCCCCGGCACCCACGGCAGTAAATCCCACCATTCTGGCCCTTTCGGAAACCCCCTCCACATTATTCCATTAGCCCAGAGGACCCCAACCTGGGCCCCTTTAAGGCTTGTGGACTTCAACTCCCAGAATTCCTCAGCCAGCCAGGAATGATAGAGTTGGAATGGACCAGAAGGGCCATCAAAGTCAGGGGTCTCCAACCTGGGCCGCTTTGAGACCTGTGGACTTCAACTCCCAGAATTCCCCAGCCAGCCAGGAATGATAGAGTTGGAGGAGACCAGAAGGGTCATCTAAGTCAGGAGTCTCCAACCTGGGCCACTTTAAGGCTTGTGGACTTCAACTCCCAGAATTCCTCAGCCAGCTTTTCTGGGAGTGGAAGTCCACAAGCCTTAAAATGGCCAGGTTTGGGGACCCCTGCATTAGCACATTTCATAATCACAGGTAGTCCTCGACTTACAACAGGTCATTTAGTGACTGTTCGAAATTCCAACGGCACTGAGAAAAAGTGAGGCGTGACCGTTTTTCACACTTATGACCGTTGCAGCTGCTACTACCTGGAATGGGCTGAAGCCAGTGCTATCATGCACCGCGTTATCCTATGCGACTTCCGCGAAGGGGAGCAAATCAACCCGATCCTTTGGCTGGTAAGACACCCAGGACCGCAAACACCGTTCGATCGTGGCGTTCGCTCTTTCGGCGGCCCTGTTTGTGCTGGGGTGGTAGGCGGAACTGAGCCCCTGAGCAATGTGGCCATGGGATCAAAATTCAGGCGCTGGGCCATTGTCTCGGATGGTTGCGGGGTCCCTGGGTTACGCAATTCCCCTTTTTGCGACCTCAAGCAAAATTGACAGGGAAGCCAGGATTCATTTAACAACTGGGTCACTAACTTAACAACAGGAGGGATTCACTTAACGACTGCGGGAAAAAAAGGTCATAAAATGGTGGGTGGGTGAGAACTCCCTTGATAACTGTCTTGCTTAACAATGGGAAATTTTGGTCAAAAGTCGAGGACTACCTGTGTTCCATTAGGCTAAACACGTAGTCCTTTTTTAATCGACTCTGGTTGGACAGCCAACTTAAAAAAAACTCCTTTGGTCTTTTTAGCTGCCATCAGAAAGGGAGGGGGGGCAGAAGCAGTGCATTCCTTAAATGCTTCAGATAACTGCTAGGCAGCCGAAGCTGTTGGTGCACAAGATTATTACTGGAGAGCCTGATTGGTGACTCCTGGCTATGGATGTGTCCCATTGGAGAATATACATCCAGGGGGTGGGGTGGAGGGAAGGCCAGGGTCAAGGGAGAAATGAATGATGTGTTTTAGGGTTGGCTGCACCCAGTTAACTCCAACATGGTCACTCCTAATCAATCAATCTTTTTTACTCTGAGAGATTGCAGCTAGAGGCTTATGATTTGAGTAGAGATGCGCGTCGGAGTCCTGACAGCATCTGGCCAAAGGAGCATAATTAAAAGCACCAAATTATCCCAAGTCAAGAGAGGAAAAAGGCTCAGGTGTCACCAGCCCCGTCTGTGGAAGCCTCACCGGCGTCCAAAGACCTCTGCCCACCCCCAGGGGCCCCAACAGGAGCCGGGCCCCGGCTATGGCTCACCTGGGCGTGGTCTGGACCAGGGGCTTCCGAGTGGCCCGGAAGGTGACGAAAGCTGTGATGGCCGAGAAGAAAACCCAGATGCCCAAGAATCGCCACCAGTGCAGCTTCACCGTGAAGTAGAGGGGGACGACCCACATCTGGAAGAGGGTCACCATCTGCAATGAGAGGTCGGGGGAGGGTTTAGGGGAGGGGAGGCAGCTCGAAATCCCCCTGGCGGGGGGAGCTGCCTCTCAACACGCGATCGATCGTTTCTCCCTTCCTTCCCAGAAGTGTTCAGACAACCCTTAAAGCAGAAGTCTCCAAACTTGGAGACTTTAAGACGTGTGGTCTTCAACTCCCAGAGCATTATGGGAGTTGGAGTCCACACATCTTAGAGTCACCAACTTTGGGGACCTCTGCCTTAAAGGAATTCTAGCGAAGGAGCTGGAGGTTCACCCTGGCTAAGCAGCTGGCAGACCAGTAGAGCCCAGCATCCGAACGACCTTCAAGGCTGACTATTCAGGCCGTGGGTTCAATTCAGCAGGAACCCAAAGGAAAGCATTCTACCCGGGGGTGGGTGGGGACGCTGTGGGGTCCCTGGGGCTCTCTGACCTGGAGTGTTTCCTCACTGACATTTCATGGAGAAAGAGGATCAGAAAGGGGAGGGGAGAACTGTAGGGTCCTTGGTGCTTTCTTGAGCTTGGTGGGTTTTTTTGCAGACGTCTCATGACCCAACTACGTACCATCATCAGTGCTCTTGGTTTATATTCAGATAACTTGCTTGTTAGAGGACCTCACAGTCCTCTTGCTCCCCCGCAAACTGCACCTCCTTTCAGCACTGATGAGGTTCCCTAGTTGGGTCATGAAACCTCTGCAAGAAAACAGCCAAGCTCAGAGAGCACCAAGGACCCCATTGTGGTCCTCCTCCTCCTCCTCTTCTCTTGCAAACCTTCCTCCCTTCTAGCACTGATAATGTTTCCTAGTGGGGTCATGAAACTTGTTAGGAATATGAGTCACCTAACAACTATTTGGGTTAGAAATAGATATAAACCAGGATAGACATTTTAATACTGTATCTTTAAGAAAAAGCAAAACTGTAATTGGGTGTGGTTTCTCAAATGGCCATAAGATGGAGCCAGAAACCTGGGTTGTCTTAGTCTTAGTCTCAGTGAGTCTCTATTTCCTTCTGTTGGAGAGTTTTGCCGTTCCTTCTAATGACTGTTATTCTTGGATTTGATGTAAGTCTGTTACTGAACTGTTTTTGATCCTGGACTTTGTTATTGGATTATTCCTGGACTAAAAACTGACTGATCTTACCTGTGAATGACTTTGGACTGTGTTTGAACTTTGCTTAAAACTTTCTGGAAGGAAAAACCTACATTTAGTGTACAGTGTATCTGTGTGCTGTGTGTGTATTATTCAAACCCTCCTCTCAAATACGTCTCCCTGTATGCGCTCATTCTCCTAACAGGGAATTACCTCAACAAAACTTCTGCAAGGAAACCAAGCTCAGAGAGCACCAGGGACCCTACAATCCTCCTCCTCTCTTGCAAACCTCCCTCTCTCCTAGCACTGATGGTGTTCCCTAGTTGGGTCCTGAAAGGTCCGCAAAACTACCCAGCCCAGAGAGCACCACGGACCCCTCCTGTCCTCCCTGGGCTACCAAGGCCCTCTTTTTCCTGGCCCCTTTCCGGAGGGAGCCGCCTTACATTGTAGGAACGGGGATGCCTCTGTTTCCACTGCACCAGGAGTAGCTGGGCGACGACCAACGTGGCGATCAGGATGAGGACCATCTCGGCGTGCATGGCCTCGTGGCCCCGGTGCTTGGCGTGCATCCGCGCATGCTCGATCCTGGGAAAGGAGAGCCCGGCAGGTCAGCCTCTTGCACAACGGCGGCCCCTGGCCGCTTCCAAAGCCTCCCAAGGCCGCATTGGGCCAAGCTTCCGCCTGGCGGCGTAGCACACATGCACACACAAACACACACACACAGAGGTCTCTAAAGACACCAGGCTGCCTCGGGACTGCCAAAGATTCAGAACCACGCAAGCAGACAGCGTGGGACTGGACGATGAAATGTTGTCATTTTAATTTTCTTAAAATCTGAAATTGATTTTAAAGCTTTGGTGTTTTTTATCCATTGTTTACATGTGGATGATATTGCACACTACCCAGAGTCCCTCTCTGAGGGAGAAGGGCAGCTTAGAAAGAGAGAAAAAGAGAGAGAGAGAGAGAAAACACACACACACACACAGAGGATAGATACGTAGACAGGAAGGCAGGCAGTCTGGGAAGCAAAGGACCTCAGCCAACCTTCCTTGAGCCCAGAAAGCAGGGAACGGAAGGCAGCTCTTCCAGCCCCAGATAATCCACAGGCCGAGTAGTGCGGCCCCAGCACAGGGGTAGGGGCACCCACGAGGCCATCTATCCCAGCCCCATAAGCAAGCAGAGGTATATCAGCAGCCCGCTGGAGGTGGATCTTGCGGGATGAGCTCACTCCCCCTCCCCCTTCCCCACAGGGGGCAGCTGCCCACCTGAACTCACCTCCATCTCTCATCCGGGTCCAGGTGTGAGAGGTCAACCTGCGGAGAAGGCCAGAGGCAGAGAGTGAGCAGCTGCGCCCCAGGGAGGGAGGGAGGGAGGGAGGAGGCCCCGCTGCCTTAGCAAAGGGCATCTCCCAGACCAGAACCCCCTTCGGGTAAGCCAAGGGTTCAGGAACGGAGACGGGCTACCGGGTGACCATCCTGGAACAAGGCAGGCCCAGAACTGCCACAGGGGTGTGTGTGCGAGCGCTTAATGGGGTGCTGTGGGTGTTGGGATAGCTGTGAACGTCGCTCACCTGCAGGGTAGCCATCCCAGCAACTCGAGGGAGCGTGTGCTCTGGCTCTCCTCTGAGCAGCCTTCCAACCCCTTCCTTCCGATGCGAGAGCTGCCCCAGGGCGGACATTCCCTCCCCATTGTGAGGTGGCATTCCTGGCCTGCGCAGGCCCCACCCGCCCCTGCCAGCCGGCTCTCCTTCTCCCCAGCCCCAGAGCCCCACTTTTGGCCCCTGGAGAACAGGCCCAGCACAGGGGGAGGCCGAAGGGAGAAGCCGCTAAGCCCCCAAGGTCCTGGGAAGGCCACCTGTTAGGAATATAAGTCACCTAACAGGTATTTGGGTTAGAAATATATAAACCAGGATAGACATTTTAATACTGTCTCTTTAAGAACATGCTAAAAACTGCAGTTGGGTGTGGTTACTCAAACGGCCATAAGATGGAGCCAGAAACCTGGATTGTTTTAGTCTTAGTCTCAGAAGAGTGTGTGTCTGAGTGAGTCTCTGTTTCCTTCTGTTGGAAAGTATTGCCGTTCCTCCATTTCTTCTAATTGACTGATATTACTGGATTTAATGTAAGTCTGATACTGAACTGTTTTTTGACACTGGACTTTCATATTTGGATTATACCTGGATTGAAAAACTGACTGATTTACCTGTGAATGACTTTTGGACTGCCTATTTTGGACTTTGCTTAAACCTTTCTGAAAGTAAAAACCTACATTTACTGTACAGTGTATCTGTGTGCTGTGTGTGTATTATTCCAACACTCCTCTCAAATACGTCTCCCTGTATGCGCTCATTCTCCTAATGGGGAATTACTTCAACAATTTCCACCTCCTCCGAAAAAGAAGGCTGGTCGGCGTTTCGCTCCAAAGCCAGACAGGCTCACCTGTTCTGAATGATGGCTGACCAACAGGTGTGTGTGTGTGTGGAAGTTTACGACTATCCTAACACATGGCTGGAAGACGGAGCAGGTTGTTCTGCCCTAGGTCTCCTCGGAAAGAGTCAATTGTGAGTCCCAGCAAAACCCTCTTTGATGAAATGAATGTGAATTTAGTGCATCCGCATTCAGCCAACGGCTTGGCCAACGGCCTTGCGAAGGTCTCCCCATCAGCTCAGACCTTTATCGATCCTGGAACCCTGCCTGGTAAATAGTTCCACACTCAGTGCTGACAGGGAAGGGCTGGAACGAAGGAACGCAGGAGTTGTTTTCTGCAAAAGCCCCCTCCTCTTTTAATCCGGGTGGGAGGGGCCATTCATCGTCCACCCGTGGCCTAGCTCCCACACAGACCCCGCGTTCTTCAATGCTCCTTCCTTTTGGCAGCTCTGCGCATGCGCAGGCTGGGAACCGCTTCCAGAAGCTCCCCCGCCTCGAGCCCAAAGACAGCTGATGATGCCAGCCTGCCCTGGCCCCATCTCTGCCTCGGATGCAGAGCCCTCCGCGTCCGAGCCTTCCTCAGGCTCCAGGCTCCTCCCCAACCTCCTCACTGCTGTCCACCTCGGCTGCCAGCGCCATCAGCGGGCCACAACACAGGTTGCCAGCAGGTGGAGGGCCCGGATCACAGACAGAACGGCCTTTCATGTCCCTCCCACGGTGGGGGGCCAACAGTTCACATCTGGAACAAATGGACACCTTTTTTAACACGATGGCATCTTCTTAGGAAGCATGTTGAGGCAGCGCACACACGTCTCTTCTGCTGCGCTCTCCGCCTTGAAGAGTACAGGAGCAAAATGGTGGGACCTGCCAGGTTTCTTCCTCGCTCCCTGATTTGTGATGGCTGACAACAGCACACCAATGGCATGTACAGGCACAACAACAACAGAGGGAAGCTGGACTGAAAAGGGGCAGGCAATTCTTTGGGACAGAGAAGGTCGCTGACGGACAGAATATTCCGACCTGCCGTTGAACTGTGGGAAACCTTTGGGACTCCAGGAGGACAATTTCCAACTTCTGCACCAATTATTTTTTCAGTTTGAACTGGGAATCTGTAGAGATTCTCCGTCCTCGGTTGTCCCAAAGGAAGCAACCGGACTGTTTCTTTGAAGACGTTTCGCTTCTCATCCAAGAAGCTTCTTCAGCTCTGACAGGATAGAGGGGGATGGAAATGGGGACTCGCTGACAAACCGACTTCTGTGTGGAGTCTCTGAGCTTGGTGGGGGTTTTCTTGCGCAGACGTTTCATGACCCAGCTAGATAACGTCATCAGTGGTAGAAGGGGATCGGGGTTTGCGGAGAGGGGGGAGGAGGAGGAGGATTGTGGAGTTCTTGGTGCTCTCTGAACGTGGTGGCTTTTCTTGTGGAAGTTTGTGATCCAAATCGCTAACCTCCCTCAGCGCTGAAGATGTTCCCTAGCTGGGTCATGAGACGTCTGCAAGAAAACAACCAAGTGCAGAGGGCATGAAGGATTCCCCCCCCCCCCCCAATATCTCCACTCCTCTCTCCCTCTGCAATCCACCCCCCTTCTAGCTGTCATGCCCCTGTTGGGATCGGACTCCGAGGGAGAGGAGGAACAGCCGACAGAGAGGGTGAGTATGGCTCCGGAGGTGGTGGAGGAGGCTGGGGAAGGGCAGAGGCCGGCTGGGCAGTCAGAGGAAGACCCAGGCCTACCCCCTCTCCATCCTAGGGCAGGCAGGGAGGAGAGGATAATGGAGAAACGTGAATGGCGTGGTCTACGGGGAAGGAAGGGGCCCTGATCCCCTTCATGGGCTGCAGCTGGGAGGACTGTTTAAAAGGACAAACTGCGCATGGCCCAGTGCTGGAAGCAAAGCGTGAAATAATTCTAGTCTTTCGGTTCTTATCTGAGTTCTGACATCCTTCCCAGTGTGTGTATTTCGATATCTGCGGACGCCTTCAAGCCCTGACCCTGCCTGGTCTCCTAAATTGCTTCCATGTGGTTTGTGTTGTTGTTTTTTCTATTTATAATGTATAGGTATTTTGAGTTCGAACGGGATTTCTTACTTTTCGCAACTGTTTGTGGGGGAGCTTTTTTCTCCAGTGAATGATAAGTTGAAGGAATTAAAGGGACATCACCTATTTTGGTGACCTTGTTATTTCTGCATCCCGCCCTGGGTCCTCACACTAGCACTGATGATGTTACCTAGCGGAGTAATGAAGGATCTGTAAGAAAACCACCAAGCTCGCAGGTTCGTTAACTAGTCCCCAGATCAAACAGGGGAAAAAAAAATCCTTACAGAAAGACGTTGAAGACTGGCAGTCCAAGGGTTTCCCCGAGGACAGGAACAACAGGTACCTGTCACCTGCAGTTTCACCTGCTTGGGAGATAAGCCCCAGCTACCTGCCCCCATCCAGTCCTCGGGATTCCAAACAGCTGGCTAAGCATAGCGCAAAGGTTGCTGCCAGCACACAACCAACTAGCGAGACTCCTGCGATTTTGTTTCGTTCAGCTCTTACTTTAGCTGTGACACAGTGAACCAAAACCTCCTTTGCCGTCAACTGCAGGTTTTTAAGAAGAGATGGGAGAGCCGTTTGTCCGAAATTGTCTAGGGACTCCTGTTTGAGCAGAGGGCTGGACTAGAGGACCTCCAGGGTCCCTTCCAACAGTGTTATCCTGTCATTCTAAAACGGCTGATCTCTCAAGGGGCTGCAGTTGCTGGGCGGAGGATTTTGTCAGCGCCCTCCAACCAGGAGAGGAAGGGCGAGTGTAGGTGAGTCAGCCTTTCGCGGTTACAAAGGTGTGTAAAGCACACCTCAGCCATTGGCTCAGCAGGTTCTGGGGACCAGAGTGGACCTGCTCCTCCTCCTCCTCCTCCTCTCAGAGGCAGCCAGAGAGGCTAGAAAGAACGCTGAGTTATTGCCACACAACCATGGGATTTCAACATTTGCTCCACCTAACAGACCCAGAGTTTTCCCAGGTGTTTGAAAATAGGGCTGGAAGGGACCTGGGAGGTCTTCTAGTCCAACCCCCTGCTCAAGTGGGGAAACTCTATATATCATTCCAGACTAATGGCTGTCCAGCCTCTTCTTGAAAACCTCCAGTGATGGAGCATCCGCAACTTCTGGAGGCAGGCAGTTCCACTGGTTAATTCTTCTCACGGTTAGGAAGTTTCTTCTTCATTCCAACCTGATTCTCTCCTGGACCAGCTTCCACCTGTGTACTTCGTGTCCTGCCTTCAGGAGCTTTGGAGGAGAAACCTTCCCTGCGACAGCCCTTCAAGTATTGGACGATGCTATCATGGCTGCCTCGGGAATTCTGGGAGTTGAAGTCCACAGGTTGTAAAGTTGTCATAGTCGCCCCACCCCTGGCATGACAGGACCTCTGTCCACCTGTTATTTCACCTTCCATTGCTTCCTTCTTCTAATTAGGTGAGATGGGCAGCATGCAAGTTTATATATATATATATGTATAAAGTCAAAATGCCACTCATGCATCATCAAAAAATCTCCAGAACAGTAAAGCCTACAAACTTGAAATTCGGCCTGTATCTTCCTCTTGGCTTCTCGGGGCTCGCTAAGAAAGGATTTTTCCAAATGACCCTCAGAGCATTTAGAGTATTTCCTATATTATTACGCTAAGTAGTTCTAATCCCCCTCCCCATCTCCAAATGCAAAACACAAGCAGAGGAGAGGAGAGTTTTAGTTTCACAGCACCAAGCAGCTTTAGTACACAACAGTTGAGCTAAGCCACACCCCAGGCTCCTTGCTGTCTTCTTCTTGCTCACACAGCAAATACTGCTTCACTTTCCAAACAGCCTTCAACTCTCTCACACTGGTTAATTCTTCTCACAGTTCTCACTCCATGTTGCTAACTTAACTGCACTGATCCGCTTAACAGCTGTAGCAAGAAACGCCGTTAAAAAGGGGCCAAACTCAGTTAACAACTGTCTCGTTTAGCCACAGAAATCTGGGGCTCAGTCGTGGTCGTAAGTCGAGGGCCACCTAGATCTGGCTGACAAGTGCAACCCCTGAAACTTAAGGCTTGCTCAGACTCCGTCATCCCTGTCGCATCTTTTAAAAAGGCGGGAGAAATGAAGAAGCAGCAATGTCACCCTACATGATCTTTGGGGATCCCAAATTTTTTTTTTTTAAATTTGTGGTTCGATTTATAGGCTGCCTGTCGGCCGGATGGGCGATTCCAGGCGGCTGAGGGAGGGAAGGGAGCGCCCCCCCCCCCCCCGGAAAGCCGGAAAGGAGAACCGGGGTTACGACCAATCCTCAGCATCCTTCCTTGAGCTCCTGCCCCCATTAGAGCTTCAGGCCAGGCTGGGAAACTTAATTGAAGCGTGGCAGGGAAGGAAGGAGTGCCGGCAGATGGGAATGCACAGGTGGTACCGAGTGAGAATCACGCAAGGACAGGATTTCTCAAGCTTTGATAGCTGGAAGAGGGCTGGACTCCCAGCATTCCCCAGCCAGCTTGAGGATTGGGACAGCTTTGCTGGCTGGGGAATGCTGGGAGCCAAAGTCCAGGCCTCTTCAAGCTGTCAAGCTTGAGAGACATTGCAATAGACCCTTGGCAATATCATCCCTTGGAAGGGACTGTGGGACTCCCCGCCACAAGAGCCCATGAAGTCAGGATTGGGGCAGCTTTGCTGGCTGGGGAATGCTGGGAATCGAAGTCCAGCCCTCTTCAAGCAGTCAAGCTTGAGAAACATTGCAAGAGACCTTTGGCAGTATTATCCCTTGGAAGGGACTGTGGGACTCCCTGCCACAAGAGCCCAGGCAGCCCCTAATCTGGAGTTTGCGGGCTGGGAAATGTTGACAGTCCAATTCCAGCCTTCTTCAAGCTGTCAATCCTGAGAGACACTACATTAGACCCTTGGGAGCTTCATCCCTTAGCCGGTACTGGGGAACTCCCCGCCACAAGAGCCCAGGAGGTCTTGATTGGGAGCAGCCACCAGGGGAGCAACTCGCTCCAGAGAGGCCAAAGGCCTTTTCCAGGGGTGCTCGGGCCAGATCCGGGGGCCTCTTTAAGAGAAAGCCTTCCCCGCGAGTCGCTCGTTTGCTGGCTCCGGTAGACCGTCCCTGGCGCTGGAGGCTCTACCCAGCTGAGAGGGAGACCGGGGTCGGCGAGAGGCCCGCCTTGCAGGGCCGTTGGGGAAAGGGGACCGGTCCTTCTCCTGCTCTCCCCTTCCGGCCTTCTCCGACCGACCCCCGCGCAGCTTCCCCGCCGGCAACTCACCTCGTCCGCGCCGGGCTCCAGCGGCGCCCCCACCACCTCCACTTCCACCACCGCCATCTTGTCCCCGCCTCACCGCCAACTCGCTTCCGCCGACGCCCACCAATCAACGCCCTCGGTTCCCGCTCGGCCAATCGCCGCTTTCAGAGGCCGCCTTGGAGGGCGGGCGGCTGTCTTCGCGCCTCAGGGACCGTCCAAAAAGTGCCATGTTCCCCTTCGGACGAAACCATGTAAAAGCTGACAGGAAAGGGGCCGCCGAGGGTGGGGCCTGAGGGTACCGGACTGAAGAAGAGGCTGCAGCTCAGGGGATCCGCGCTCGAAGGGATCCGCGCTTTTTCGACGCCGCTCCCAGGGAAGAGGAATTGGCAGACGCTCCCCGGGGCGAGGGGCAAGAACTACGCCTCCCGGCATTCCCGGCGGCCTCGACCGGGGCTGAGCTATTGGCCGACGGGGCCGGCTGGAGGTGGATGACGTGAGAGAGCGAGTAGAGCGTCGGCCTATCCGGAGCGAGGGGCGGGGTCGAGCCGGGCCTTGGCGGGAAAAGCAAAGCCGCGTTCGGGGCTGATGGGCGTTGTAGTCCAGCCGCGCAGCCGGGAAGGCGATGGCGCCGCTGAGGATCCGCTGCGTGGTCTCCTTCTCCTCGCAGGTGACGAGACCTCGCTTCCCGGGGCCCTCTGGGGACGGGGAGAGCTCGGACGAGCAGTCCGGTCGTGGGGACGCAGCCGCGCCCGACACGTGTCTGCTTCTGGGCCCGGCTGAGGAGCCTGGGAGGCCCGCGTGTGTGTGTGTGTGTGTGTGTATTTGACGAAGGGGGTCCTTGCACCTGATAGGCCTTTGCGTGTCAACAGGAAACCCCCATGAAATGCTTTCCTCTAATTCCCCCTTTTCTGGGCCAGGACCCCAAATACCCCGTGGAGAACCTCCTGCTGGAAGACGGGGTTCAGCCCTGGCTCTGCTGCCCCTTGGACCGCAGCCGGCAGCTGAGAGCCGAGTTGCAGCTGGAGCAGGCCGGCTGCATTGGCTACGTCGACGTAGGTAAATGCTCCTTTGGATGGGGGGGAGTAAAAGGTTTGTCTTCCACTTCTGCATAAACTGTATAAAAAATTAAATTAAAAAAAGATAAATAAAATGCAAGGAAGATCCAGTCAGTGACTTAAGACTGTCGTATACAGGGAGTTCTTGACTTACGATCCCAATGGAGCCCCCAATTTTCTTTTGTTAAGTGAGCGTTGACCCATTTTATGGCCTTTCTTGCCACGTTGGTCAAGTGAATCGCTGCTGCTGCTAAGTTAGTCACACAGTCGTTAAGTGAATCTGGTTCCCCCCCCATTGGCTTTGCTTGTCCGACGGTCGCAAAAGGGGTTCGTGTTACCCCAGGGTGCTGTGACCGTCATAAATAGGAACCCGGGGCCCCGAAATTTGATCAGGTTCCACAGGGATGCTGCAGCAGTCGTAAGTATGAGAAATGGTCATTAGTCACTTTTTCAGTGCTGTAAGTTTGAATGGTCATTCAATGAGTAGCTAAAAGTCTCTGTCATGCCCCTGTCAGAATCTGATTCAGAGGAGGAGGCCGAGCAGCTGACAGGGAGTGGGAGTGTGGCTCTGGTGGCTGTGGAAGAAACTGGGGAAGGGCAAAAGCCGGCTGGGCAGAGCAGGGAAGAGGTAGAACAAGGGAGAGGGGGTTCAGAGGAAGACCCAGGCTCACCCCCTCTCCATCCTAGGGCACACAGGGAGGAACGGAGAAGGGAGCAACGTGGGTTGCCTGGCTTACAGGGGAGGAAAGGGCCCTGATTCCCTTCATTGGCTGCAGCTGGGAACACAGTGTTTAAAAAGGGAGGTTACGCACAGCAAACTGTTGAGAGCCAATTGTGAATTATCTTTGTTCGAGGCTTATCTGGGTTTCTGGTGTCATCCCAACTCTGTGTGTTTTGCGGGACTTTCAAGTCTGCAATTCCTTCTCCTGCCCTGTCAGGCTAATTGTTGCAGTGTGGTTTTGCGTGGATTTTTATTTACAGTTTGGATGTACAGTACTTTGTTTTCGGACTGAATTTCCTTCATTTAAAGCCTGTTTTGGGGAGAGTTTTTTTCTCCAGCCAAGGTAACTGGACATTGGGGGGCAAAGCTGGAGGTATTAAAAGGACATTCCTTGCTTTATTTGACTACTGTGTTGCCTTTGTGCCAGGCCCCTTTGGGTCGTGGCAGCCGAGGGCTTGCTGTGCCTGCAACCGAGCAACTGACCGGTGGCTGTGCTGTGACTCGGCCCGAGGGAGGAGAAAGGGGGGGGGCCACGTGGGCTGGGGCCGGAGGGGCTTCCCCTGGAGAGTAAGAGGGTTTTTCCTGCTTTTGGGGTCCCCAGGGAACTCGGGCTCTGCTTTCCTCCAGATCGAGGTGGGCCGCTCCTCCTGGCCTCCAGGTCGGGATTATCTCACCCTCCTTCCGACCACCACCTTGATGGGGCCGGCCGATGCCAAGTGGGACAGGAACCGCTCCGGGGTCCGGATGTTTAAAGAAGGTACAGGGAGGAGGGGGGGCTGGTCGGCCTTGGGTGAGGGGGCGGGGGTTGGACTAGAAGGCCTCCGGGGACCCTTTCCAGCCTGGGGATTCTAGGGGCCTGCCAGCATGCCGGAGCTGCCCAGGTTATGGATGATGGCCTTGGTTGTCTCGCGCAGGGGACTTGCTGGCTTCCGCTCTGGCGGAGAAGTGGGATCGTGTGCGGCTCACCTGCAGCCAGCCCTTCCACAGGCACGCCCAGTTCGGCCTGGCCTTCATCCGCCTCCGCACCCCGGAGGATACAGAGGAGAGCCAGGGGGGCCCCGCAGCCCCCTCCCCGGGTCAGGTAGGGCTTTGTGTGTGGAGGGGGCGGGGAACATGCATGGGGGTCAGGCAGGGGTGGGATTCTACCGGTTCAGACCGGTTCCGTAGAACCGGTTGTTGTGATTCTGAGCAGTTCGGAGAACCAGCAAATGGTGTCCCAGGATGGCCCCTCCCCTCCCCGCCTGCCCCGCCCCTCCCCACCCAGTCAGTCCTTATGGCGCAGGTGCAACGTCGCTGACCGTGTTCTCCCCCGGACCAATCACGCCTTAAGGTAGTTCCTTCTCCCCCCTCCCGGCGATTAGTTGCTCTGAGGATCAGCTGTGCTGGGGTCCCCCTCCCTGCCTTATCCTGCTTCCCCAGGAGGCGTCCTAGCCCCCCACCCCCCGTTTTTCCCCTTCCTGGGCCCCAGGGAAGCTTTCCGGGAGCAACACACTCCCCCCCCTCCCCGAAGCTTCCCTGAGGCCCAGAAGGCCCCAAAACGGAGGGTGGGTGCTGCAAAAAAACCCCACAACCAAGCCACGCCCACCCAGTCGCATGGCCACACCCACAGCCCCGGTGGTTAACCAGTTTGAACCCCCCCCCCGGGGGGTTCGGGGCCAAGGGAACAGGGCGCCTGGAGCAGGATGGGCCCAACCTGGCAGCTTTAGGACTTCAAGTCCCAGAATTCCCCAGCTGCCTACCACGCCCCCGGTTGCTGAGTGACCGGATGGAAATGGAGTCCTCGGCTTACAACTAGCGACCGTTTCAAGTTCCAACAGCACCGAAAAAAAGAAGACTTATGGCCGGTTTCCACACTTATGACCGTTATAGCACCCCCCTGTGGTCAGGTGATCAAAACCGAGGTGCTTGGCAGGTGCTGACTCGTATTTACGACGGTCGCAGTTTCCCGGGGTCGCATGATCCCCTTTTGCAACCTTCTGTCAATGGGGAAGCCAGTTCACTTAAAGACCACGTGACTGACTTGACTTCAGTGGTTCCCTTAACCAGGAAGTGGCAAGTAGTGTTGTAAAATGGGGCAAAACTCACTTAACAAATGCCTGAGTTAGCAACATAAATGTTGGGCCTCGATCGTGGTCGTAAGTCGAGGACTCTACCGTACCTGTCTGCGTGAGTGAATAGTCGCAGAAGTTTTGTTCCTTGTTCTTTGCCTTCCTCCTGACGCCTCCTCCCCTTCCCAATTCCCCTTCCTCGGCCTCGTAAGTTCCTCCCTCTGTTTCCCGCTTAGGCTTCCCCGGAGTCGGCCCCCAGGCCAGGGGTCTCCAGTGGAGTCTTCGGTGGGACCCTTCCCCCAGCAGGGCCGTCGTAAGTACCCAGCTTTGCCGTGGGCCGCTCCGGCTGCTTGGCCACTCTTTGACTTATTTGAAACGGGAATAAAACTACAAAAAACCCCAATTTAAGCCAGGTCTGCTGGAAATGTAAGCAGTCACAGGGCACCTTTTTCCACGTCTGGTGGCTTTGCCCGAAAATCAAGAAACATTGGATAAAAATACGAACACAGATAAAAGAAATTACGCCCTTCCAAATAGACTTCAAAGCAGACGTTTTCCTATTGCGGATAATAAAAGGAAATTACACAAAAGAGATAAAGTATTTAATTCTGCACATAGTCACTAGAGCGAGACTGGTGCTCGCACAATGCTGGAAAGGGGACCACATGCCAACGGAAGGTTTAATAATCTAAAAAAATCTACGATTGCGCTGAAATGGATAAACTTACTCCAAAATGAAAGGAAAAGGAAGACTCAAAATACTGCACGGTTTGGGAAAACTGGTACAAATGGATCAATGACAGAAATAAGCAAGTCAATAAATAAGGCATGAATAGTTCAGGAAGGATCATGGTTTCTCAAACGGCCATAAGATGGAGCCAGAAACCTGGGTTGTCTTAGTCTTAGTCTCAGAATTGACTGATATTACTGATAACTAGGAATACGAACTATGCGTGGGAACAATAACTGGCATGTAAGCACTGTCAAAATGGTTTGTGAAGTTTACAGTGTTTTTCGTCTTAATAAATATTGTATTTTGTACCAGATGTTTTTTAAATGTTTCACAAAGATTTTTCCCAACAAACAAAACCCAAAAACCCTTACGCAGCCCACCTGATCCGAAAGCATTGAACGCAGCGCCCATCACTTCCCACATGCGTCTGCGCCCTTGTCGCTCAAGGAGGCTGAAACTGGGTCTTCCTTCAGCGGCGCCCAGGAATCGTGGCGGGGCAAAGCTTTTCCCGCTCGGGGTGGGTGAGACCCCGGCCCCCAATTCACCGGGGACCCTCTCTGCTTTTCTTTCCCCAGGTCCGTCCCCCGGGAGGAGAGGCTGCTCAAGCGGCAGCTGCAACAGCTGGACTCCACCCTCCGTGGCCTGAGCCGCCCAGCCCAGCTGGTCCTGAAGGGGGCAGCCTCGGCCCGCAAGCGAGCCCCCCTCCTGCCGGCCGGGTCTCCCCCACCGCCGGCTGCGAGGAGCAGAGAGGCAGCCCCAAGTCCCAGGGCACCAAGTGAGTGGGGGGTGGGTGGGGGGGAGGAAGGGAGGCCCGGGGCCACCCCCTGGGTCCGTCCTCCGAAGGGGCTGGTTAGACCGGCCGCAGAAGAGGTGCCCTGAGAGGCTACCAGGAGTGGTTGTTAAAAGGGTTGGCCTAGAAGCCGGGAGGCGGCGAGTTCGAGTCCTGCTGTCTTAGGCATGAAAGCCGACCGGGCGACTTTGGGACCGAGAGAAGGGAAACGATGGTAACTCAGGGTTGAACCGAGGCGTCCTCAGCGCTTTCTAATCCCGGTGGGCTTTTTGGAGGCCTTTCATGACCCTGCGAGGGAACATGATCAGTGCTAGCAGGGGGGAAGGTTTGCAAAAGTTGAGGAGGAGGGGGGGGTGAGGAAGAGGAAGAGGAGGACAACGACTGTGTGGTCCCTGGTGCTCTCTGAGCTGGGTGGTTTTCTGACAGACGTTTCATGACCCCACTAGGGAACATGATCAGTGCTAGGAGGGTGGGGGGGGTGCAGAATGGAGGAGGACTGTGGGGTCCTTGGTGCTCTCTGAGCTTGCAGACGTTTCGTGACCCAGCTAGGGAACATCATCAGTGCTAGGAGGGAGTGGGGGTTGATGGAGAGGAGGACTGGGGGGTCTTGATGCTCTCTGAGCTGGGCGGTTTTTCTTGCAGAAGTTTCATTGCCAAACTACGTAACATGGTCAATGCACTGAAGATGTTCCCTGGTTGGGCCATGAAACGCCTGCAAGGAAACCCACCCAGCTCAGAGACCCCCCCCCCCAAAGCAGCCTGTTGTTGGCCCCTCTGCTAACTGCCCCCCCCCCCTCCTCCCCCCCCCCCCCCCCCCGTTGGAGGTTTTTGTGGGGGACCCTGATGAGGTTTTCCAAGGTGACCTGAGGCCAGTGAGGTCATTTTTGCAGCCTCTGCCATTCAGCGCTGAGGAGGCTCCCTGCAGATCAGCCTTTTCTGTTGTGGGATCTGGCAAGTCGCCTTGGTCGCCACCGGCTGCTCTTTAACCGGCAAGTCCTTCCCGGCGGGTTTAGGTTGCCGGCATGTTTCGTCCCCTCAGGGCCCAAAGAGGAGCAACCCGCCAGGAGCAGCCGCTTGAAAACAAAGAGGAGGAGGAGATCGCAGGGCGGCGCCAGGCGGTGAGTTGGCGAGAGCTGTGCCTTCCCTGGGCCCGGTTGGCTTTCTGGCAGGCCTGGTTATGGGGCTCGCTACAGGTAGCAGTCAGGTAATCACGCTCGGTAAAGCCTGAGTAAGGCCACACCTGGAGTCCTGCATCCAGTTTGGGTCACCACCTTATAAAAAAGATGTTGAGACTCTAGAAAAAGTGCAGAGAAGAGCAACCAGGATGATTTTAGGGGACTGGAGGCTCAAACATACGATGGACGGTTGCAGGAACTGGGCCTGGCTGGTCTAGGGAAGAGAAGGACCAGGGGAGACAGGAGAGCATCTTCCAATATTTGAGGGAGGGGCTTCCCCAGAGAGGAGGAGGAAGGGGGTCAAGCTATTTTCTAAAGGCCAGACAAGGAATAATAGTGGATGGAAACGGACCAAGGAGAGATTCAACCTGGAAATGAGGAGGAATTTTCTGACAGGGAGAACCTCCCAAGAAGAAATTGGGCTGGCAACTGTCAGAAATGGTGGAGGGTCCCCTGCTTGGACAGCGGGTTGGACTAGATGACCTCTAGGGTCCCTTCCAACTCTGATTATCTGTTATTTTGAACTTGTGGGGCCTTCATTTCTGGGGGCTTTCTAGAAGAGGTTGGACTGTCATCTGTCAGAAACGGTGTAGCGTTAGGGGGTTGGACTAGATGACCTACAAGGTCCCTTCCAACTCTGTTATTCTGTTAGTCCTCGACTTACAGCCACAATGGAGGGCTGATTTTCCATTGCTGATAAGGCGGTTGTTGAGTTAACCACACCTGAGTTGATGAGGTGTTTTTTTTTCCCCAGTGGTTGTTAACGGAGTTGCTGCTGCAGTCATTAAATGAATCACATGGCCATTAAGCAAATCTGTCTCCCCCCATTGGCTTTACTTGTCAGAAATTGGGGAGGGGGCGGCGGAGGGACTTTAATCTGATGGGGATTCTGCGTTGAAGGGGAGAAAAACCCACCTGGACGGGGAGGGTCAGGCAGCGAAGGGAGCGGGGAAGATCCCCTAAGCAAGACAGTTGTGAAGAGGGTCCTTGCTCCATTTTACGACCTGTCTTGCCGCAGCTGTTAAGGGAATCACTGCAGCTAGGTTAGGAACACGGTCGTTAAGTGAAACCGGCTTCCCCGTTGACTCTGCTTGTCAGATGGCCACAAGCGCTGGGACCGTCACAATTGCCGGTCGCGAAGGGTCCCAGTTGTGATCCCATGGGGATGCCTCAACGGCCGTAAGTATGGAAACGGCCCCGAGTCACTTTTTTCCAGCGTCCTTGCAACTTTGAATGGTCGCTGAACGAATGGTCGTAAGTGCAGGACAGCCTGTAAAAGGAGTTTTGTTTGTTTTCCCCGCCAGGCCCAGGAATGGTTCTCAAAGGGAGGAGAGAGGCCACAGCCAGAGCGGAAGACCACCAACCTGGGAAAGGGAGGAAGAGGAAGGAGAGGGCGGAGGAGGAGGAGGAGGAGGAGGAGCTGCGCTGGGCACCTGCCCAATCTGCGCAGGTGAGCCAAGCCTCGGGGGCTGGTGGGGTGGGGGGCTCCCACCAGGAGGGTGAAAAACCCTGCAGGGGGTGAGGGCAGAGGAAAAAACGCCTTGTGTGCAGGCCACGCCAAAGAAACGGGACCCACAAGGAATTTGTCTTTGGTGCAAAGGCTCTCGGGGTCCATTAAAACAAAAAAAAGAGATAAATTGGTCAAGCGTCCAGAATCATCAGGTGCAACACTCAGTAATAGCCAGAGGGTAGAATAGGCGCATATGGGGGCAGAATTTAAATAGAAGGGGATGGGAAGGAACGTGATAGAGAGCAGAGTAGGAATAGGAATAGGAATAGGAATAGAATAGAGAATAGAATAGAATAGAATAGAAGTAGAAGTAGAAGTAGAAGTAGAA